GTTGGTGCTGGTAGAGCAACCAATGATATAGTATCTTGGCACTCGGTAAAGTTGCCATATCTCCGATAAGCGATAAGCGAATTTCGAGTTGCGAATTTTTGTGCCGCATTTGAGATTCCACAATCGCCACAACATCGTCGCCCTGCACGCTCGCCGGCAAGATGAAGACCACTTGGAAGGATATTGCACCGGTTCCTACCTCTCAGGAATTCATTGATATTGTCCTTAGCCGCACACAGCGGCGGCTACCTACTCAGATTCGTGCAGGCTTCAAAATTAGCCGAATTAGAGGTCAAACTTCCTACCTGCGTTGAGAAAGAAAGTATTGCTGAGACAACTGTACAGGTTTCTACACAAGAAAAGTCAAGTTCACGTCCGAAACATTCTGCGAAAAGTTGCAAGCCATCCTCGAAGGGTTTCCTCGACTCCAAGATATTCACCCCTTCCACAAAGACCTCCTCAATACTCTCTACGATGCCGACCATTTCAAAATCGCCTTGGGCACGTTGTCCACTGCCAAACGGCTGATAGAAACAGTGTCTCGAGATTACGTGCGGCTCCTCAAGTACGCCCAGTCGTTGTTCCAATGCAAGTCCCTCAAACGAGCGGCCCTCGGCCGGATGGCCACAATCTGCAAAAGACTGAAAGACCCTCTCGTGTATCTGGAACAAGTGCGACAACATCTAGGACGATTGCCGAGCATAGATCCTAACACTCGAACACTCCTCATCTGTGGCTATCCGAATGTGGGGAAGTCGAGTTTCTTGAAATCGATCACCCGAGCGGACGTCGATGTTCAACCCTACGCTTTCACCACCAAGTCACTCTTTGTTGGACATTTCGACTACAAATATCTCAGATTTCAAGCCATTGACACACCAGGAATCCTCGATCACCCATTAGAAGAGATGAACACCATCGAAATGCAGTCCATTACCGCTATCGCACATTTGAGGTCTGCCATTCTGTATTTCATGGATCTGTCAGAACAGTGTGGCTACTCAGTCTCTGCACAGATGGCGCTTTTCAATTCGATCAAACCCCTCTTTGCCAACAAGCTTGTCTTCATAGTAGTGAACAAGACCGATGTCATGAAACCGGAGGACTTGGACCCCGCGACCCAGCAGGAACTGAAGGATTTGTTGACACAAAACGCCAACACCGAACTTCTCCAGTTGTCCTGCGTCACCAACGAAGGGGTTCAAGAGGTGAAGAACACGGTTTGCGATCGATTGATTGCAGATCGGGTGGCAGCAAAACTTAAGGCTGGACAAGCCGCACAATCCGCCACCTCAGATGCGCCCACAGGCCGCTTGGGCGATCTCCTTGCGCGAATTCATGTGGCCAGGCCATTGGAAGGCTCGGTGAGCGAGACCTACATCCCAGAGGCCGTCAGAAACGGTACCCACCAAAAATACGACAAATCAGATCCCGATAGACGGAAACTCGAGCGTGATATCGAAGAGGAAAATGGAGGTGCGGGGGTCTATAATATCGATCTGAAGAAGTTTTACGATCTTGCTGTCCCAGAATGGAAGCATGATAAGATTCCCGAGTTCTTCAATGGCAAGAACATTGCCGACTATGTCGATCCCGACATTGAACAGAGGCTCGCAGAACTGGAGGCCGAAGAAGAGAAGTTGACAGCAGAAGGATTCTACGACGAGAGCGACAGCATGGAAGATGAAGATGACGCCGAAATCCGCATGAAAGCGGACTTGATCCGCAACAAGAAGACGCTAATGATGAATGAGGCGCGCATGAAGAAGAGTCTGAAGAACAAAGCTCAAATACCACGGGTCAAGAAATCCAGGACAGTTGGGCAAATGGAGAAGCACTTTACCTCCATCGGCCTTGACGCATCGGCCCCTGCTGACCGAGCAAGAGCAGAGATTCGTAACGCCAAACCTGCGTCCGTCGCCGCCGATGAGATGGAGCTTGACGATACACCCTCTGCGAGACTAGCGAAGTCACTGTCCAGAGCGCCAAAGACAAACAGGCTCACGGATGGCTTGGGTGTGAGTGCGACAGGAGTGACAGACCCTGCGAAGAGCGAAAAGGCCCAGCGTATGGCAAAACTGAGCCAACGGAAGATGAACCGTATGGCCAGACAAGGCGAGGCAGATCGTCACGAGACGGCATCGCTACCAGCCCACTTGATCAAGGGCAAGAGGAAGATGGGGAAGACGCGATCCAGGTAATCGGACGAGGGTGGTTCGGGGGTATGGAGTGTCATTGTTGCAGCCTTTGACTGGTATATTTTACGACTTGACGTTGTTGAACTGTCTAGAGATCAAAATTGAGAGGGTCCTTGGGAGGAAAAGCTGGCCAGTTAGAAGTTTCACGGCGTTCATTACGATGTCTTCGTGCCCTGACCTAGTCTCATTCTGTTGGTTGATTCAGAGCCTGGGCAACCAGGAGAGTTCGACAAGGTGACAGCTCAGACTCGTGTGTCATTCATTCCTTGTTGAGCAGTAGCAGTCAAGGAGGAGTTCTACAACCTTTTGACGATAGAGATAATTGATCAACGGGACTATGCCTAAAACACGTAGGTCCCGCTGGCTGGCACTGGTAACATTAAACAGGTCCAACCATAGCCAGAGCTAGAAGCTACACAATCGGACGAAAGTTGTCCCTTTGCCGTTTTTACTATTCTTTCCATGTCCGAGGCCAGCATTCTCGTAGAACGCAAGTTTTTTCAGGTGTGACTGACGTTTGTCATCAACTTCTCGCCCTCAGTAGCAACTCGGTCAAACAAGCGGATTGATCCCGAGTCACAGTTCCCTCACCCTGCATTCTGTATTCTGTGCAAGCAAATTCATTATTCATCTATATTCTTCTCTTTTGGCCAGGAATGATGCAGTCCCAAGGCTTTCGGACATAAGATAGATAGTACTCGGCGATATAGCGTATGCGTATCCTTCATTTCAGCTGCGATATGTGCATGTAACGTGTCTTGATGGTCCAGCTTCGTCGGCATTCGTTAAGCCCGAGCAGCTCGCTCAGCCTTGGCCCCGAATGGCCCCTTGTCCCTTGCCCCTGCTGTGCCTGCCTGGGGAAAGGAAGTGGCCCCTTGCTTTCAAAACCCCGAGTTTGTAATTACTAAGCGCGGTCGAAAATGCCCCTCTACTAACCTGTGTCACTCACACTTACTGGTGAGTCTGATTAGTATCCACCACAAAGCAACGCAGGAGCCAACCCCACGTCAGCCTCGCTCGTGCTTGTGGCCTGATTGATTGATTGATTGATGTGATGGGGACGGCGTGATGGACTCCGCGGGGCCGGAGCAACTACAAAGCCAAGCAAGATCATAGGCCTGTATTGACAAATGAATATGTAGAGGTTCAAAGTATATTTAAATAGCTGGGAAGGCGTGCCATAGATGTGGATGTTGAGACGCGCTGAGATTCTTTGTTTCAGCGATTGAACATACATAAACTATTTCTCATCACTTGCTCTGGACCCAACTATTCAATCCGTATTCATCACAGTACATACACAGCCTGACGACATGGTTCCCAAAACTCAGAAAGCTCTCCTCGTCACCGAGGTCGGCAAGCCTCTAGTCCTGGTCACAGACCGCCCTGTCCCTCAACCCGGCCCAGATCAGGTCCTCCTTCGCGTCACTGTTGCTGGACCAAACCCACACGACGAGAAAGCCCGTGACTGGGGCCTGTTCATCGCTGAGAAGCTACCAGCTATCCTCACCAACGACGTGGTGGGCGAAGTCGTCGCCCTCGGTGCGAATGTGACAAAGTACGCCGTCGGTGACCACGTTGTCGCCCAGGCTGGGTTTGACAATGTTTATGCCCAGAGTGGTTTCCAGGAGTACGCCGTCGCCGACGTTGAAGCCTCAGCCAAGATCCCTCAGGGGTTCACCGACGACGACGCGGCTACTCTACCCACCAATGTGATTGCCCCGCTGGTTGCACTCTTTGACGCTTCAACGCTGGCCATTCCCGCTCCTTGGACCGATGCCGCGTCCAGCTTCGACTACAAAGGCACCACGCTACTGATTATGGGCGGAGGCAGCAACTGCGGGAGATTCGGCGTCCAGCTCGCTGCGCTGGCTGGCATCGGACGTATCGTCGTGGTCGGGGGTGACGAGGCTGAGTTGATATCCTACGGCGCGACAGACGTAGTTGACCGACACGCCTCGCCAGAGGAACTCACCGAGCGCATCCGATCTCTCGTTGGTGATGACTTGCTGTACGCCTACGACGCCATCAACCCTCCCAAAACGCAAACCATCGCAATCAACGCCCTCTCCTCGACCAAAAAAGGCAAAGTTGCCCGCTTGCTCCCCACTGGACCGGTAGACGAGTCTCAGATCCACCCGAAGAAGGAAGGTTATGAACTGCTCAACGTCTTTGGCAGCTCACACGCCAAACCCGACGTGTGCAAGCCTTTCTGGGAACGTGTGCCGCAGTATTTGATCGAGGGAAAGCTGAAGCCGAGTCAGTACGAGGTGGTCAAAGGGCTGGATGTGGACAAGGTGAATGATGTCCTGGATCGCTATCGGGACGGGAAGAAGGTGATCAAGACGCATTTTCACGTTGCGGAATGAAGTCTAGGGATCAACGCGGGCTTGATTTTACAAGCAGCTCTAGCAGAAAGACCCTTCCATGGGAAAAGGGGGAAAACAAACAAACAAGCAAAATATTCTTAGGCGTGTAGTTCCTGCCGAACTTTGCGGGTGACTGCGGCCAACCTTGATAGCTCTTGTTCTTACTTGGATGCAGTCAAGCAGTTGCCTTTTGGGCAAACCTCAAACGCAACCTGTCCCCAGACGTAACCTCTTTGCGACGCTCTACTTCACGACATCTTGCTTTATGACATTTTGCTTTATGACGAGCTGCTCCACAATAGTTTGCTCCAACCTTCCATGAATGGACCCGTAAATAAATTGACCACCTTTGGACCTCAATCAAGGGTTGCCGAGCTGTTTTACGCAAAGATTCGCCCTTTCTGGACCTCGAGTGAGCGGATTTTGATTCGTCTTAAAGCCAACCTCGAGTGAGCGGATCTTGATTCTTCTTAAAGCCAACCTCGAGTGAGGGGATCTTGATTCGTCCTAAACCCAACCGCATCCTAGGTCTCTCTGAGGACTCCAGGTGCTGGTTCATGATTTTCACATCGAACTGGACGTTGTCTATGTCCAACACTCCGCTCCGCTGGATCACCCCCCGAAGCGTCTTCGCATAGGAATGGGAGCTGGCGCTGATGTAAACGGTGGGCTGAAGATGAGCTCTGTCATCGCCCACTAGGAAACTTTGCAGGACCACAGCCGTGCTCGAGTTGTTGGAGCGTCCTGGAGTATGCAAGATGATGCCTCGTAGCTGGGCCCGAAGCTCTTCCCACGCTTTGGTGCAGACTCGTCCTAGCGACCATAGTTGATCGTTGCCGTATGTTTGCCCTTGGACTACGGTCTCATCGTTGTCCCAGGGTGCCCAGTCAGGCTTGGCCCTGTCACCTTTGAGACGGAACAGCATTTTGGAGAAAGGATTATGTTCGAGCTTTCCTGCCCGCTTAGTCGAATCCACGCCCCAGTTGTCCCAGTCGGCCCTGTGAGCAGTTGGGACTTCCCTTTTGCCTGCAGTTGGGATGGATGAATGTACCTCAGTACCAGGGGTCTCGACTGGAGAATGTGGTTCTGGTGCAATACCAGGTGTCTCAAGACCAGTCACGATCAGGTGCGATTCGCCATCACCAGTTGAGTGTGGTGGAAAAGCAGAAGTCTCAGTATGAGGATCTGGCGACTCGCCGTCACCAAATGAATTCGACATACTACCGGGATCTCGTTTCTCCTCTTTGCACGACCACGTCTTCAAATGCGTGAGGGCAGCTTCTCGCCTTGAAAATGGGTTATGAGGCTGAATGGATGGAGGGAAATAGGTAACAATGTGGGAACTCGCCGAAATCTAAGGTAAACAGGTCTCAGCCTCCGGGAAACCCCGCCCGACGTGGTTGATCCCGATTGGGCTGGGGCAGCGGCAGGTGCGGTCTTAGTGCACACCCTTCTCAACCTTGCCCTATTGCGAGGGCTAGGCCACGCAGTTTTCAGGCCACGGCAGTTGGGGCGCACGGGGTCAAGCGATGAACCACATAACCCATGTCTAAGACTCTTAGGGGCGGTTTTTGTTCACGGCCTGATGCTGAAAAAAATAAGGCGGTTGGGAGACTGCGACGAATAACGCTGATAGCCTTATCCCAGAAACTGCGGCCTGCATGGTTTCCGCGTATCGATGAGATATGTTTGGCGAGGAATGGTCTTCAACACGCTGCTACAGGTACCTTAGCATCGGCGCTTTCGATACGACGCCCCCCCGGTGACCGGACATCCGAACAGCCAAGTGGAAGGTAGAAGTACATCTTTCCCATCAGATATTGGTCTCAGGGTTCTTTTAAAGATGCCCGCCAAGTGCATCGAACGCGGCTTCTCTATACCCAAGGAAGTCAATTCCTATCATCCCCGGTATACTAGCATACACTACAGCCCATGGACCATCGACAGTTGGCAACACGGCTAAATCGCGCAGGCCGCAGAAGATTAGTGACGAGATTATGGGGAGTCAATCCACTTACTCAAAGGTTGTAGAGCACATTTCGCTATCCCCGAAGCCCATACTGATCGGTTCTGGACAGTCTACAAAGCTTCGACAGCGTTGCTATATCGATAGAGACACTTCTCAGCGCCTTCACTCAGCGGCATCATGCGATTCGAACTTTCGGAGACTTGTACCAGCTAGTTGATTTTCTCAGGGATCCAAATATCTGGTTCGCAGACCAAAGGCAGCTTCCCACCCTGGTACGGAATCCACCAGCGCCTCTACCAGGGGGCCCTCCAATTCCAGCACCCCCTCAGTTCCTGCGCGCATCGGTAGGTGCTGCTTTGATCCAGCATATCTTGCCTCGTATGGGCGGAAGGAGAAGATCTATCTTTTCGAGACTCGGCTTGTGGCTTCAGGTCGGACCCCTAGCTAACGCGATTCATATAGAACCGACAGATTTCCAATTCGATAGAGCTGGCGTGGAGAATATGGCTCATGGCAGGAATAGGACTCGCAGGGTACGATGGGTGGGCAGGAGAGCCCGACTACCAATGGCCTCCCGCTCAAGCAGGCGTCTCTCAGCACGTCGACTTTGCTATGAACCACATCCTTCCGCGGAATGGACCAGGTCCCGAAGTACAGCAGACTTTCCGGATCACGATGCCCGCTCAACAGTCGTGGGGGGTAATAGTAGGAAATGCTATTCAACAATTCGACATCACCACGCCGGCTCATCAAGTCCAAGGAACAATCATGAGTGCAGGAACTATGACCGATCCAGAACTTGATCGCACCTTCACTCGTATATTCACACTCAGGGAAATGGAGCGACTGGGCGACTTTGAAATCCATTTCACCCAAAATCTGTTCAACCACCTCTACGTGGAAAAATACACGGAGCAACGGGCTAACTGGAGGAGGTTGAAGTTCAGCTGGAAGAAATTTCGACCGATTGTTTACGTCTTTCAATACGCCACGCTTTTGGCTCAGCTAAAGACTAAGTAAGTAGAGTTGAATACACCCGTATCCGTTTACCTTTCCTTACGAGCCGAAAAAGCGACCTCGGAAACCATCGTGAACTCATCGACGAGACACTAAGCACACTGGGCCTCCTGATCCCCCAGGACGAACATTCTCAGAGATGGTTCAGCAAAAGGTGGAATAAAAGCAAGCGAATTGACGGTCTCTACGCGGTAGACCGAGCCGCGGGACGGCAGAACGCAAGGTCTCGCCGAATTCGCGATTTCCACCACTGGAGGGCCCGGCTCCTGATCCTCGAGAAGGAATTCGACGACACCTCGCCACAGACCCCCTTGGCATGGTGGCACGATCGTCGCCGCGGCCGAGACTGGGCGACCTTCTGGTGCAGTGTCCTCGCCAGCGTTATCGCCCTAGTCGCATTCATCCTGGCTATATGCGCGACGTGGTACGGGAAAAAATCCGTGGATCAGGCTGTCATCGCAAACGTGTATGCCAGCATTGCGAGTTCAAGTGCGGCCGCTGCGGCAAGTCTGAGTTCCCAGTCCTCGATGGCTGGGAATGCTTCCACATCTTTTGCTGCGACGACTGTTAACAACTGTTTCGTGGAATGTTGCTATGAGGCTATTGCGAGCAGTATTAGTTGTGACAAGCCAACATCATCTACGGCGCAAGGACCCTGTTCAACCATTCCCAGTTCAGCGGACACCGGTTCGAAGCCTTTCACTTCAACAACCCCTTTCACGGCATCAGCGTTTTCTGATCAGTCGTCTTCTATTACAACGCACACCAGTTCAACGGTCCCAGGTCCGACGAGTCTTCGTACTACGTCTCTCGGCTCAACATCTCCTACTTCCAATCAGACGTCCCTTATTTCAATATCGCCCAGTTCAACGACTCCTAGCTCGACGTCTCCTGAGCTGACATCTCCTAGTTCTACGTCTCCTGACTCAATATCTCTTAGTTCAGTATTACCCGATCCGACGTTTGCCATTTCGACAATCCTCAGTTCGACACCTCCCTCTCTACCCAGCTTCTACAGCCTCTCAGTCGGCCCTGGACGACCACAGACCTGGACACAGCCTGGACCACTATGACAGTCAGTAATTCCACAATAGACCGAAGCATAAAGACATCTTGGCGTGCTTCTCGCCCAGCAAGTGAGCGCCCTACCTATTCCAAGAAGGAAAATAAACCGGCGCAACACAACATCCAGGACACAAAGTGAATTAGCCAGCCACGCTAAGAGGAACCCATTGGACCCCAGAAGCCCGCAGAGGCGGAAGGAGAGGACAATGAGGCCGAGGGTGGCCAACGACAGACGAACAGGTCGAGCGAGCTGGTTCAGTCTCAGGCTGAGCAGGTTGCGACTAAATCCAGGGAGATCGTGACGGCGGCCTTGAATGCCATCCCTCACAATCCTAACGAGGAAGATGACCGGCTAATGATCGATACTCCTGCCGGTGGGGCTGAGAAGAACTTGTCCCGCACACCACCGATTCCCTCTGATGGCACCTGCAGATCTAGCCATCAAGGACAAGTCCAAGCGGCACCTCCACTTAAGCGGAAAGATCCACAGAAGAAGCAGTTCCACACTCGTCCGCCTCCGTTGAAGGAGGGATTAGGGCTGAACCTTAATCCGAGCCATGGACATAAAGAGGACGACGAGGACTCCATCAGCAAATCACCTGTCCTTACGAAATTCGCTGTCGCACGCGACGATGCACCCCCAGACTTCATTCTCCTTGCTTTACAACAGAAATCTCCACCGCGGTCCTCACCTGCAGGTTCACCGGATCAGAAGCAGAGTCTTCTAAATCTCAAAACCGCCATAGGTGATTTACAGGACGCAAGCTTCACTAGATTCGCCACTATATTTCCCATGGACTGTCCTTCTCCTGGTCACTTTGCACAATATGCATCTCTGGCGTCTTATTCAGCCATATCACCGCGGGCACCAATCGATCCTCCATCTCATTACGACTTTAGGACAACAACTCCAGACCTGAACACATCAACATCTAGCTACACTAGTTCTTCTACTGCGGCATCCGCCCCGTCCTCGTCGATTGCCGGACCATCTCTAGCTGCTTCACACTCATCGCCCTTAGCAGCTGTGCTTGATCAGGACAGGGACAGAACGCGACGTGAATCTTTCGAGACCGAGTCGAAATCCCTGTCCGAGTTACGATCTGAGGCCCCTCCTGGTGATGGCTCTTCCTCAACGCGTTTCATAAGTGGTGCTTACAAGAGCACGTATCATAGATGTACTGCAACTTCTTTTCAGCCTCAGTATTTATTAAACAGCCATGCGAACGTCCATTCTAATATAAGGACTCACTTTTGTCCCGTTAAAGGCTGTCGTCGGGGCTCTAGTGGTCAAGGGTTCAAGAGGAAGAACGAGATGATCAGGTGCGCTACAGCTCATACAATATTCTTCTATATGGATACTAACGCACTCCGATTCGCAGACATAGCTTGGTTCATCCTTCTCCGGGATACGTATGTCCCTTCTGTCCGGATCAATCACACAAATACCCTCGGCCAGATAATCTACGGCGTCACGTATGGCAACATCACGAGGACAAAGACCAAGACGATCCCATACTTCGCGACGTTCTCAACCAGCGACTGGAAGGAGGTAGCCGGGGCGGAAGAAGACGTGAAATGGTCAAAGAGCGGCAAGCCTAAACCACTACGGCGAATAAATTGCCTTCCCCGCTGGGAGCAGCCGTAGTATTATTGACCCCAGCTCCGTGCACCAGGTCCGCCTGCGATCTTCATGAAGCCCATGACTTTGGTGGTTCTCATTCTTAATACGTACCTAGCGCCATGGTTCGTTTTCTCTACTCAGATAATCTCTTCGTGAGAAGGACTTTTCTGCATCAAGCTCCCCAACCTCACGAAGGCACTGCTGGGACAGCATCAACACTGACTGCGCTCATCCTACTCATGGGTTCTACTCGATTGGATTATGCGTCTTCGTGAGAGGGCTAAGATCACAATCCAAGGACCAAATCGCGAGGCAAATCAAAGGCACTGAATGTCGAAGACAGAAAGAAGGGTATAGTAGAAACGTGGGTGGGCGGACCTGGGTACGTTCCGGCTTCAGTGAATATTTCGGCTAGGGACTTCGTCCTAGAGAGGCCCTTGGGTAGAGGGGCCTAGGTACGTGCTAGAGACCTTCGTCGGAAGAAGTACCTAGTTGCATCAGGATCCGGTGGCCCAAATCGGCTCCGGAATTTGAAAGCACCACCATGCACAGTGTGTAGAGCCTACTTGGGACCCTATCTGGACCTCTATATTAAGGAAGATAAACTTCATGTGAGCCCGGCATTGTCGGAAATATGAAGGCGGGCGCTGTGGCAGGCGGGCGCTGTGGCAGGCGGGCGCTGTGTGCTTGTTCATAAGGTTTTAAGAGGGAGTCAGTGTCCCGCAGTTTGTTTAGTTATAGAACTTATACTTTTCTCTTACGCGGTTTTTACCATCCGAAGTTACCAACACTGAATTGAATCCCCCAGCAGTCCTTTAAAAGTTAGAGTCGGCTCAGTTATAGAAGGGAAGGACTTGCCCGAATGCTGAATGATCAGGGCACACTTATGGTAAGGATGCTTATCGGGATAGTCTGGCTCCTCATCCCGAATGGACCAAGCCGCCATCGATCGGCGTCGAGGCTTGGGGTAAGAGTTGAGAAACTTGTTACGGAATATGGAGCTGGTGGGCCACAAGGAAGGAGGTAGACAGGGAGGATTCCGGAGTAGTCGAAGGTGCGCATGTCCTAATTCAAAACCGATGCAGACACTCCGTAACAGAGAAAGCAGATGGCAAGGGCCAAGGCTGAACAAGCGGAGCATTTTCTGGTGGCAACAAGCTTCGATAGACTAAGCCCTTCCCGCTAGAGAGACAACAAACGAAGGTTTCTGTTCATTGCCCTCATCAGACAAAGCCGACAGGGTGATTACAGGCCTCTCGATAAGTGCGGTCACGGCCGCGGCAGGATGAAGTAGAGGATTGCCATGCTCGTTGGGCTGTTGAGAACGGGACACTTGGTGGAGAATATGACAGGCGGATGTCGATCTATGAGATGCTGCGTCGCGAGATTCAGCCGCACTATCCTCGGATGGATCTTCCCGAGCTCACCATGTCCTTGGAACTTTGACTTGGGTTTGTCTACACCGGGGGTCGGCGGTGGATGATATGGCTGGGTGAGGCCCATGACGCACTCACAATAGTGATTAGAAAAAGGAGCAAGCGTTGATCCAAAATACCCCGGGATTGACAAGGCAGCTCTTAGGCATTCGAGGTCTCAGGGATGTTCACTATCGGACAGTAAAGTGACCTGACAGACTGCGCCTTGTCTCATTTCACACAGGTGTTTGGGACATGAAGGCAGTCCCATTTCCGGGACTTCACCTTCTACAAAACGTATTTGAATTTCAACCACTGCATTTTGACATGGACATCACACCCTCTACTTCACATTCCCCTGCCCCGTCAGACCTTAACCCCTTCGTCTATAAAGTACGTCAACGACTACAACAATATCAACATCAAACTTGAGCTTGAGCACATCGTACTCACCCCATCTAGGAATGCCTCAAAAAACAAGAATAAAGCCTGAATATCCAGACTGCGACCACCGGCACATTGACGGACCCATAACGCCCCTCGACCGCGATGTGCTCGTGGACACTTTTCAAGATGCTAAACATGCCCTAAATGAATACTTAGACAACCTGCACCGTTCTGGCCCTCTGGAGTGGCCCTCCCCAGCGGGACGCAACCACCATTCCTCGGCCTCTGCCTCTACCCCTGGTATGTGCGAGAGAGAGAGAGAGAGAAATGTATGCGTGTGTGGGTGTGCCTGCGCACAGTCAGGGGGGAGAAAGACATGCGTAAAAAAGGACCACACTTTTGTCTCTTCTTTTCCAACCACTGCCAGTAGACATTTTTCTTCCACACCTTGTTACTGGTGTTGTTCTTCGCTGGTACTAGTGTGCCTTTCACCTGCACTGTGCTGCTATGTGAGCTTTCCCCAATTCTCACTCTACGCGAAATTGTCAATCAGTCTCTCCCACAGATCACAACAGTGCCCTTCTGAACTAGATTACAGATCACAAGCTCAGATCACGTTTCCGCTGAAACCCAGTCTCATCTCTTCATTCAACAGCGACTTCACCCAACACACAATACCTCTTGGTTTGAAAAGATTCTCTTTCTCTTCACAAAGCGTGGTTGCTGACTGCTTGGAGAAGCACGGCTCCCATCACCAACTTCGACAAGGCTGACCTCACTCCGTCAAGCAACGCTAGTCCCGAGCTCCCAGGCGGAAGATGTGACTGGTGACGGCGTGGCTTCATCAACTGAGCATCCGCCACCAGAAGCATCCAAATCCAAGGAACAGGAGCAGAAGTCAGATGTCGCCACTAAGACAGAAGAAGAGGACGAAATACGGCTTGTCGGATTCCGTCACGATGTCACGCCATTGTTCCTAACGGTGGAATCTTTGATGTGACTGACGATTTGCTGTCCGGGGAGCAGTCTCACAGCAATGGCGAGGTGTAGGATGCGTCGTCTGACGCATCGCAGGCTTGACGAAGCACAAGCACCTGATGTTCATCCAAGCATTGCGATTCAATTTCTGCGCTATGAGGGTGCTAAAGGCCTCAATTTCGGTCTGAGCAAAGGAAGGAACCGTCCATGAGAGGCAGGACTGACTTACTGAAGGAAGGAGCTTCTGAACCTCGATCAAACCTCTCTCAACAACCCCCTTACCGTCTCCCCCTTTTGGTTTCCCAGCATGTCTTTGTTGTTGTATGCCAACATTTACATTCTCTCTTTTCTGCTGCTATCCTTAGTTGGCGTTCCATTGACGTTGCTTTCTAGCCTCCCTGTATTCTTCAGGAACTGCCGCTCACTCAGTCTCAGAACACAGATCCGATTGCAAATGATCAATTTGACATTTCCCGAAGGCGATAGAAGTTTCGGTTACTGATCCTCACCTCGCTCCGCATTGCCTACATTTTCCGATCCCTCACAACTGTTCACCAAATTCTCGGCGGGTTGGACCTCGCAGGAAGTCTCGTTTGGTAGAAGATAAATAATATTGAACCAAAGCTTTGGGATCTGGAACTAGCAGAAGATAATGTACTTCCTGGCAATACCAGGGGAATTTACAGACTGGGAAGAAGATGCAAACCTAGTGTACCCAGGAAAGCGTGTGTCGAGTCTTTGGCGCCCTTTCCTGGAGAGGTTTTTGGAGTGTCCAGTCCCAAAGGGATTCTATGATGTCGTTCCGGATCTGGAGCCGATCCCCAAAGCCACCGACGCTACAGCAAGCGTGCCGACCACGCAGGCCTCGGGCGGGGTCGGAATGACATCGCGAAGTCTTCAGAGTTGTCGACTACTGATTGGAAAAATCGGGGTGGTGAACTCGGCGTTGGAGAAATGGATCAAAGCCCATGCCCGCATCTGGAGCGCTTACAACTTGCTGCACAAAGACTGCCGTTTGATCGATGCCAGACTGGTCCAATATCTGTCCAGCACATGGCTAGAGCACGACACCGCGGCCCAAAAGCTGCTGGAACAAGTCAAGTTAAAGAGGCGCCGCTGGCTCGAGTTCAAGAGTCGTCTAACTCTTGAAGAAGGTGTGCAGAGAACGATTCGAAGTCCTCATGGCAGTCACCATCCTCGTGGTATGGGCAAGTTGCGAGGGTATGAAACTGAAGAAGGAGCTCAAAAGATGGCCCAGCTGAAGAAAGATTATGGACGAATGGAGGTCTTGGCCTCAAGGGTCAAGAACGATGTATGCTCGTTGTACGCGGCTCAAGGGGGACTGTACGCAGCGATACTGGATAGCAACCCGGAATTCTTCACTGTTGAAGATGCAGGACCTGCGGGTATCGACCTGGAAAGAACCAAAGCGGAGTGGGATATCCAAAATGGGACGGTGCTCAAACTGCGCGTGGAGAAGATGTTGGGAGGAAGAAGCAATGTCTCTGACCTAACATGGGTGGTGTCAGCACGGCCTTGATCATGTAGAAGAGCTGGACGGATTCCATGAGAGTAAAGTGTGTCTTGAACGCCCTAGATCGACAGCAGCGGCAGATAGGGCTCAGATGGATATTCTTATAGCAGCAATTCATCACTTATCCGAGTAGAGTCGAGCGGCTTTTCCCCGTTGTCGTTGGCCACTTTAGTGGTGAGCCAGATCGATGAGACAAGGAGAGAATGTGGTTCAATTAATATCATCTTCATCCTCGGGGGCTAATACGGAATGGGGCAATGACCGCATATTCCTATTTGTTACAAGGCTGTGATGATGGGGTTTGAGGGGCAGAGGGGCAGAAGGGGAACCCAACACGACGCCAAGCGCAAGGCGGAAGGCGGGAGGCGGGAAGCGGGGATTCGCGCATTTGTCTCCGTCGGAGGAAATCAAACTTTCGCAGCTCCTCGCTTTCCATGGTCCAGATCCCCATGCGCCGCCCATGGAATGACCTGAACCCCATGACCCCCGGTTGATCGTCTATGATATTGTTATTTGTCCTCGACACTTGCCGCCCTCTGCGATAGTCTCTGTCGTCTCTTGTTCTTGCCCACGGTGTAGTTGGGGACGAAGCCTATGACCGACCATGACCGACACCAAAGATCACGCCCAACAAGCTCCGGCGGAATCAAATCCGTCCATCAGCAACATTCCTCGTCAGCCCTCGTGGGCAGGCTCGGCCGATGACAATAATATCAACACGTCGCCTCTGCACGGTCGCAAGAGGTCCGCCGATCACCTGCCGACGGAACCTCATGTTTCGCGCAAGGGTAGGGCCTGTTTGGCGTGCCGCAAACTCAAGGTGAAATGCGACAGTCTGGAACGAGGCGATGCTGGATGCTCCAGATGCCAGCGCTTGGGCTTGGATTGTATTACATCGAAACGCATGAGAGTGAGTCTTGACGACGATGGCGAAAACCCTCACCCGTCAATTGTGAGGCTTGACAGAGCTGTCGAAGACATTCTCTCTCGATTGAAGATGCCGCCGCTGGAAGCTTACTCTCGCACTCATCCCTCCCAACACCTGCAACCACCGCCACAACCTATTCCCGCCGACTCCAACGCGCAGACCACACGGGAAAATTCGCGAGAGCCGAACCAAGAAGATGCACATGAAGTTGCTCCTGCGCCGATGGGCAGCTTGTACGAGGTCACTCAACTCAACACCCTGCGGAGCCGCCTTAAGTATGGCGACCCAGCACGTCGTAATTCGAAGAAGAATATGGAGAACGACCTCATTTCGATGGGGGTCATTAGCGTAGAGGAAGCAGAGGAAATGTTCAGCTTGTTCAAGACTACCCTCTCGCGCTATCTGTTCGACGCCACCGTCCACGAATCCCGCACATTGCTCTCTGTGCGCGAATCCTCGACGCTGTTCTTCACTGCCATCATCACCGTCACGTCGCTCCATATCCCAGGCAAAGAGAAGATCCACGCCTCTGCGCACAAGCATCTACGAGACCTCATCGCCGCGTCTTTCTTCGACCGTTTCCATACCCTCGAAGACATCCGCGCCCTGTGTATCGCAGCATTCTGGCTTCCGGATCTCAGCTGGAAACTCTCCGGCCACTGCGTGCGTATGGCGACCGAGTTGAACCTCCATCAAGCATTTTTCAAAGCCCTCTACTCGCAAAAGCAGTCGGTAAGTGACCGTGAACATGCATTTGAGCGAGCCAGGTTATGGTATCTCCTCTACGTCCTTGATCACCACTTCAGCATCGCATACGGCCGGCCGCCGGTGACGGCAGAACTGCAAGCCATCAAAGAGTACGATGTCTTCCTCAATGCTCCTGAATGTACGCCGTCGGATCGGAGAGTGCTGTCGCAGGTTACCTTATTCATTATCTTGAGCAAAGCGTACAACCACTTTGGCTTGGAGGCTGAGAGACTGATGGATGGGGATGATGTCACTCTTCTCACCCATCAGCGCTTTATCGAGGATTTGCATCGCTGGAGATATCAGTTTCGTCATGCGTTGAATAGGGATGCGCATGTGGGGGATTATCCTGCTGTTGGTGAGTTTTTTTCCGCCACTATACTATCTACATTTCTCCGTCTAACCAGGTTACTTTTCCCCCCTAGGCGTCGAATTGCACTACCACTTTGCGTCGATGATGCTCAACTCCCTCGCGTTACGAGGTCGTTCCCTCTTCACCATTTCCTCCACATCAACTCTGCCCACATCTCTGCGGCCACTCGCATCGCACGCCATCTCCTCGGCGCATGAGATCCTGATCATCGTGCTGGAAGAGCCCTCCATTCGGGACTCCATGGTCGGTGTGCCGCTCTACTTGCACACCGTGATTGCCTTCGCGGTGGTCTTCCTGATCAAAATGTCAAGTCGATGGACGGGGATTGGCGTCAGCATCGACCCGGAATTGAAGACAAAGCCGCTCATTGAGAAAGTCATTGAACTGTTCAGGAGTTGTCAGGCAGGCAAAGGCCACATCCTTTACGCGATGGCCGATGGTTTTGAACGACTATTGCGGCGCAACCTGGTGGGTGGGAACGGTCAGCTTGGAAGACCTGCTGGTGTGGAAAACGGCACCCCGGGGTATGGGTCCCTCGATGCGGCAGCGGCAGCGATGGGCTCGCGACAGAACGGTGGCAGAGACACGCCCTACGCCCAGCAACATCCTGGACAGGTTCCGGGACAATCATATGCCAACCAGCCGCCAGACCTGTACGTTTCGTCCCAGACCAACACGCCGACCCTCCTCCCTCCACAACACACCACGACTTCTCCGACACCCTTCACCCCAACAGGTGGCGCGCAACAACAACAACAACAACAGCAGCAGCAGCAGCAGCAGCAACATTCAAACGGCAGCGGCGGCACCAATTTCGACCCCTACGCCCTCTCCCCGCACTCCCAGCCCACGTCGACCTCCGCGGGCACGTTTGGCGGCTGGCAGACCGAGGACGACATGCTCTGGAGCATGGGCATGGGTTACGACCTGTTGGCGACGGCGCCGGACGTCAACGCCCACGGCCTGGGCGCCTTTATCGGGTGGCCTGGCGGTGGGGGCGGCGGTGGCGGCGGGGGGAGCATTGATTCGTATTCGCAGGGGCTATGAGCAGACACACAAAGAGGGGGGGGGGGATTCAGACTAGTTGTACAGGTACATATGTGCACTCTTGTACTCATCGACACTGTATCCCACATGATTTTTCCGGGAGAAGAAGTGACAATGTCGGACTGAACTATATGTTATGCTAGCATGGTACAGCATGGGATGGGATTGATGGGATTATGCTCCAGTAAAGATTCCATGAGGCGTTTCACTTTCGCTTTCACTACAAGGACAAGTACCGAGTATAAGTACCGAGTGCAGAGGGCTGGAAAAGTGGGCGGCCAAGTATGATACATGAAAAAACGACACATCTATGCCAGAGAGCCAGTAGGTAGGCAAGCATACATAGATACATATATTCATATACATGTACGCCATACATACTACCCCACCCCCTACATACATGTATGTATGTAGAAACCCTGCACCTGCGTGTACGAGGCAAGTATATGGTATACGGTACGCGTCCATCACGTGAGATAACGCCCGCTCATTGTCATTATACCCGGTATCATCATGTGACTAATACCCTCGAACATCGTACTTACTTGTCACATGATAGAGATGGTTGAAAAAGGGGGAGGAGGGGGGATAATATCATGTGAGTAACGCCGTCCATTGTGATTACATTACGTGATTTGAGATCTCCAAGCCCTTGAGAGGGAGGGAGAGAAAGCTGTGACGACGGACGCTTCAGCTACTGCTTAAAACAAGACACACGTAAACCAATAACCACGTCATGGGCGAGGGAGGAATACTCGCAGGAGGATCGCGATGATGGGATGGGCCTTGTTGTATTTTCGGTTTGCGGGCATACAGTAGGTATATGTGCTTGCATTGTGCTCTGCGCTGAGGCCCAGGTCCATTTCCATATCCATATCCATACCCATGCCAGTAGCCATGCCAGTACCCATGAAGAGGTCAAGGAGGCTGCGTATGAGAAGAATTGGCTGTGAGCTGTGAATGTGCACACCCATACTCCCTCGGGGGTTCACTTCCTCCAACATGCTTCGTTCCAAGCTGCCTTCGGTGGAGTCCCAACGACCTGTGCCCACTTCGCTTGCCTCGGACCTCGTCTTGTGGTGAAGCATGTAAATCCTTGGCCCATTCCATCCGCCTTCCATAGTGAGGCTCTCGCTCAATCGTAGAGTGATGGCGACAAATACTAAACCCGTGATTGATGATCTGGGACCTTTGTCACGGAGGCAGCATCTGTTGATCTCGCTTGTGTGGCAGTAGAGCTCTGGCTGCCGTCGATAACATCTGCCGGTCGTATTGTGGGTAATGCATTCCCACAGGTCTGCAGAGTGTAGGTATGCGCGGAACGTGAGGTTTGCACAACAAGGTCAACCATAGACCCCCGCGCGCGTGCACATCCATGTACAAGGTGCCAGTAAACGGCCGAATGTCCTGGAGATTTATGACTGTCTTTCAGTGCTCATCTTCTCGAGGACGGGGAAGGCTGGTGATTCAGTGAAGAGTATGGAGTATGCACAGCCCATACATGTATGGATATTCGGGCTCATTTCAATCTCAGGAAGTCGTTTGCATAGACCCCACTCGTGGCCATGCATGGGTTGTCGGTCAACATAAGCAGACGTTCCTGAGACCACCGTGTACCAATCTGCACGCGCGGCAATCCAGGTTGTCAAGGTGATAGAGACGTCTCAAAATGTATCCCCAATCTTCATACTGGCAATTCTGCATTCCGCCGCCCGCTCGAGATCTTCTGCAATACCATCTGGATGTATGGGCCCACAATGGGGATATTGCCGGCAAACGATGCGATGGTCGCAAAGAAGTCGCCAAAGAGGACGAAGATGCCGTAGAGTTCAACCAGGAATCCAGTCAGTGGCCACCGAATCAGTATGAGAAGTATGCCTGCCATGAACGCAGCGGTGCCTTTGAGTTTTTGACGTCGGGCGAAGAAGACAAACGTCTTTTGGATTCCGATGATGAGGGTGAGGCCGATCAGGAAGAGGATCTACGAGTTCAAGTCAGCGTACAGTGACTGCGGCATCGTCGGGTGAACGAACATTTCCCATCGCTAGCCTATCAAGATGTTAGCATGTCGTCCAGGATCTGTGGTTAAGAACACATACATAGAGCGATCAAAGAACATGAGGACACCTCCGAACAAGAACAATCCACCTTTTGCCGGTTAGCGTTTGCGACTTTCAGAGCATCCAGCAGATGTATTTACCTCCCGAGCAGAATGCGACACCAACCTCTGTGAGTAGTCAGCCTCAAACCGTACAATTGAGCATAGAAGAAAATCCGGGAGCGCATACTCTGCATATCCGTGAGCCACATGCTGGGCATCTCGGTGTCCTGCGACAAGTCGTATGTTTCAGGAGTGACGCGTCTCTTTCCAAATATCAAGAGGAGGGTTGTTTAACGATAGACCAAGGTTGTGGGCAGCAGAGAAATACGCGTCCTTTTGTGTACAGGAGTCGGGGGCTTGTAAGAGATGCCAGCGTGGAGCCGTTGGGAATTGTTGAGTTGTCCTCAAGGGGGTGAACATGATGCGCAGGCGGAAGAACTTCGGATCTGGCATTGGGCTTAGCTCAGCCTCGTGAACATTCAGCCTTGTCGACACCCCGGAGAAAAATCACGTTCCGGTCTTTGTCTCGCCAGTGCTAGAAAAGACATGAGACGTGAGTCACGAGTCTCTCAAAGGTCTCGATTTTCAAATATGGAGCATCCACCTTTCACAGGTGACCACCCGTCCAGATCTCACTTTGCGTCATCAAGGGGGACATATCAGGCAAGTTCGAGATATCAGCCATGTCGAATTCGAACGTTGCATCACTCCACATGGTTGGCCCAGACAAGCTAAGTTCTTGAGAGCTATGTAGGGCTGTTCGCGGTAAGGGTGTGTCTGGGTTGATTGGTGATAGAAACTGAGTATTCACGTTCAGTTCCACATTGTCGGAGGAGTCGCCGCTGTCGACAACGGGTGACGATGACACCGCATAGTCGAGCAGATCCCATAATAGTGCAGTCTCGACCTTTGGTGGACTGTTCGAAGCCGCATAGACGTGTGATGTTGCGAAATGTGCAAGTCTAGAAAGCTTCGAAACCTGCAGAGGATTAGTCCAATGACACCAGGAAAGGGGATGCTTGAGGTACTCACGGTGTGCAGCAGGTGACTGTGGGTATTCGCCATTTTCTCGACATAGCTTCTCAGCATTTCAAAATCTTTCGAGGCCCTTGCTGCCAGCGACTCGTCCTTTGAGAATTTCAAAAAGAACTGCGCAGTTGTAATCATCGAGGCCAAGTGACCGACAAACGGATCGAAGATGGTAAAGTGCTTTTCCTCGCATAATCTTAGAACAAGGACGACCCAGGCCGAGTGCAGTACCGCTTGGTCAGTTGCGTGTTGAAGGAACGACGGAGAGCGCAGTCGTGGTCGACCTGGGATCCTAGCAATATGGAGAAAGGGGTGGTTCAAGGTGCAATGTATCGTGTGGTAGATGCATTGTGTGAAGACCCAAGCTGACCAATAGGCACGCTGCTCTTCCAGCTCTGAAGGTGTCCTGTCATGAAACCTGTTGTTCTTGAATCGGTGGGCTTCCGGAAGCACAGTTTCGAACCGAGACATTTCCGACTTGATCTGTTGATACACCGAGTTGGCGGCCCATGGCTCTTCAAGATTGCCCTGTTTGATGGTCTTGAGGTACGACATCAAGCGACCCCATATAGACAATAACTGTAAAGCGTAGGAGCTAATACCGGCGTCCTTCTCCTCCGCACCCTCGAACTCCGCGAGTCTGTTTGGCAGAGTTAATGACGGCCGTTTTGCAATAGGGGGCATCTCAGGCATAGCCTCTTCACTAGAAATGGCCGGAAGACAACGAAAGCTGCTCCCGTGCATTCGGTCAAGTATGAACAGGCTCCAGCAACATCTGGACAGCTCGGAGTTTGCAGAGACTGTCGTACTCGTGGCGGCATTGAACATTGTGTTGGAGCATACGGCCATTCGCACAGCCACGCCTAGAGCCATCCAAGCTCTTGTTGTTTTCCCATCTGCCGGATCCTTCGTTAGCTTAATACAATCCTTACAACGCCTTGACGTACCTGCAATCTCGCTGAGGCACAGCAGGCAGAAAGCCATCAAAGTATCCAGGTCGCCAGAGGGCTCTGCGGCCTGGGCAAACAACAATTCTGACGCCGAATTCTTGTAGAAGTCTACGGCGCGGAATCGGCCGTTGCTGTAGAAATCACTGTCCGAGTATCTGACAGTCAAGGCAAGAAAGCTTCTTAAAAGCCCTCTTGAGAATTTCTGCGCACGAGAAGGCAATCTTTTGACGTCAAAGAGAGGCAGAGGTTGGTCTGCGATTCGGTCGATGTACAGCTTGACCAATGTCTGGAGCACGTCCGGCGGAGGATCTGGTCTGGCACTGGTCAGCATTGCCGACTGAGGAAAGGTCCAAGGTGAACAACCGGTGCAAGGGATCGAATCTTGAGACGCTAGGTGGAGCCGTGCCATCGTGTTGAATGTCTTCCTGTGACAGAATGGACGAGGCGCTGAGTCGCGGCGTCGAAGTCCCATGGAGTCTGGCCGACGACTGTCCCGATTGGAGCTCCACAAGCGTACTGAAACGTCAGTCATGGCAGTTTGTTACAAGTTGTTGAATGGAGCTCACAGACTTGACGGCGTCGACAATCTGCTCCATCCTGGCCTCCAGTTTCTGGACGCGTTGTCGTTCGGAATGGCCATCGTCCTACGTAGACCGTGAGCTATGTTTGTCTCCCCAGGGCTTTGCGGAGCAATCACACAGTTGGTCTACCACCTGATCTGTCTTTCTCGACGCGATATCCGCGCGTATCGCTGCTGCTGCTGCTGCGTGTGTAGCTGCATTGCTGGTTGAGGCGCGTGCAGAAACTGCAGCTGGGTTGTTCGCCCGGACATCTCACTTTCTTGCGTCTACACGGATCGCAGGCTTGTCGAACACGACCCTGAAGGGGACTGAGCTGATTCATGCCCTAGAGGATACCATTGACGTACATACCCCGATGTTACTGGATACACGTGGAATAGAAGAAGAGGCAGAGTTTATGTTCAACGGCAGCAAGTCGGAAGGCGTTCCGCATTTCAGCCTCGGAGATCGACTTTGGCTTATTGTCGTGCTCCAACTCTTTGTCTCGCTCTTCCTTTATTATATCTTACAACAACATCAGCATGCTCTGCACACAACAACTACGTCTGCAGCAATTTGAGATGGCATTAGTTTTCCTATCAATCACAAATTACCACGCGCCATCTGTTCCCTCTCAATGGCCTCGAATAAAGCCTTGAAATTCCCCGCCCCAAACCCCGAAAAGTTATTCCTCTGGATGATTTCGATAAACACTGTCGGCCTGTCCATCAAGTGCTTGGTGAACAGCTGCAGCAGGTACCCGCCCTCGTCAAAGTCGATGAGGATCCCCAGCTTCTTCAGAGCTGTAAAGTCTTCGTTCAACTTCATGCCGGCGCTCTCTAGCCTCTTCGACATCGTTTCGTAGTAAGTGTCTGGAACGCTGATGAATTCGATCCCCCTCTCTTTGAGGTTGGTGACTGTGGTGATGATGTCGTCGGTTCTCAGCGCAATATGCTGGACACCTGCGCCGTTATAGAAGTCGATGTATTCCTCTATTTGGGATTTCCGGATGCCCTTGGCAGGCTCGTTAATTGGCATCTTGATCTTCTCGTCCGGACTGGCCATCACGACCGACTTCAGCGCGGAATAGTCGGTGCAGATGTCCTTGTCGTCCACCGACCAGAATCTATGAAAGCCCAGTGTTCTCTCATAGTACTCGCAAGCGGCCTCCATTTCGTCCCAATCTTGGTTCCCTGGAGAAATCAGCACGGGAGCTCACTGTGCAGTCCGCATGTCAAAACTCACCCACGCAATGGTCAATAACGGCCAAATCGACCAACGGAAGGTATTTGGCCGTCTTGTCGGCATCTGTCACGGATCGATAACCAGGTAAGAAAGCCCCTTGATACTTTTGTCGCTCGATAAGAGTATGAATGGTATCTCCGTATGTTCTGATGGATGCTGTCGTCGTGGTCCCAAAGTCATCGCTCGTGCTTGCTGGTGCTGCAACAGGATAAGCTCCCTTCGCAACGGCAGCGTCGTATACAGCAGCAACGTCGTCAACTTCAAAGGCAACGTCACGGACAGCGTCCCCATGGGTAGTCAGATGATCGTGCATCTCCTTCAAAAGAGCTCGATCGTCGTCAGACAGCCAGGGGACCTTGGAGTCAGGCCCATGCAGCGGCGAACTGAGTACGAAAACAACATCCCCGTTGCGGACAACATGCGAGGCCACCACTCTCGACCCCGTCTCCAGACCACGGTATGCAATTCTTTCAAAACCCATCCGAGAGACATAGAATGCTGCCGCCTGTTTGGCGTTTCCTACCCACCACGCAACATGATCATATCCTCGATAACTTGCAACCTTTTTGGATGTGTTTGGCAATGACTGCATCGACTCCATGCTGTTATGGACCGATTTGGGTCTGATTTCATGGATGGGCATTGGTGTGGGGGCTACGGCACTGGGCGCCATCTTGAAGTTCTTGCTTCTCGTGAGACTTGGAGGGTTGTGAAGGGGGAAGAAGAGTGTGCAACATGCAGTGAGGAAAGAAACTCGCTATCAAGACGCGTTGGATGTGCTATGTAACTGCTCATATGCTACACTGAGGTGCCTCAATAGTTGTGGGGACGGAAGGCACCAAGGCACCTCCGGGCACATGTTCCGCGAATAAGCGAACAATGGGCATTACCTTGACAAAGAAAAGCAGGGTTGGAACGGTGAGACGCGTAAAGCTCTTACCTCAACTTGAGAGCATCGGTTCCTTGCATGGTTGTGCTTCCGCATTTGCACTGAAGCACCATCTTGCTCATAAGTCGACCAGGAACCATCCCACAGACAATCAACATCTTCTATCCAAAAACGACTTGTCAGGATGGCAGCCTCTGGACTGAGTGCGAATGACTCCAGTGTCTTGTCGGCACTATTCGACCCAGAAGCCTCACTATCAAGCACTGTCACTATCAACAGCAGCAGACTTGATGATCGAATACCCAGCAGGGAGAAGAGGTTTCGGGAACAGGAACGACTTGCATTGCGATCAATCAATCAAGAGCAGCCCCAACGAGGTGACATCGAGCGTTCAATCGCCCAATTGACCGAAATCATCACAAATGAACCCTCATACGCCTCCGCATGGAACAACAGGGCGCAAGCACGGCGAATGCTCATCAGGGACGCAGACCTTCCTGGGAACCCAGGTGTCGTGGCTGAGATCCTTCAAGACCTTGCCCAGGCAATTTCACTCCTAACTCCAACTGGACCAAACGCAACCCTTCTGGACTTTGACGCAAAGGTGCTCGCGTCTGCACATACACACAGAGGCTATCTGTTGCTTCTGGCGAGCAAGTCCGATGACAAGCGACAGATGCTTAGCGCCGTGCCGCATCTTAAAGATCTTTCGAGAGAGGATCTGGAGGAAGCTGGGAGCCGGGAGCTTGGGGCGGGAGGCCGCTATGGAAACGAGACTGCGCGGCAGCTGGCGGTCAAGACCAACCCGTACGCAAAGCTGTGCGGATCGATAGTGAGAGAGGCGTTGACGAAGGAGATCTCCGAGTTCTATCAACCTCATATAGCCTTGTAGAGAAGTGATGCAAAGTCGAGGCAATACATGTGTGGCACTGCCTAGCCGCCAGTCCCTGTTCATGGCACGGTTCATGCTCCCTGTCCCTGTGACCTATTTTCTCTCTAGGGGCCATGCAAGTGAGTAACAACAAACAATAAAAACCGCGGAGGAAATCCGCCATATGACGTTCCGCAGATAAGCGAACGAGGTGCGTGTCACAAGGTCTGAATGAAGGTTTCTGGTGTTTTTGGTTCGAGGACGGCTTCGCGGTCCGTGCACGTGCTGAGTTTCTTCCGCCTCTCTTCATCCACGTTCCATCCCAATTGGTTGACCCATAAGCTGGTTCTGGGAGTTCAGGAGACAGATAGATGACAAATGGACAACGGCACATCTCGCTGCAGAACCCATTGCTCAGACTCTCGCTTGGGCACTCGCATACTTCCAGGATTATTTGTCCCTTCGGCACTCAACGGAGCCCCAATGAGACCGCCAGTCATTCCGTCAGGACCTCGCGGAGGCAACCGCTGACGTTGTCTTGTCCCTGACTCTGGTCGTCAGATTGGGCTCGTCTCGACTTCACGGCGCAGAACGCCTCCAAAGAAGACGCCGCGTCCGAAGGGTCGGCCTGTCTCGGTCAGACAAGGGGAGAACCGTGTTCAACGATTTCGAGATCCCAAAGCCCAGGGTCGGCTTAAAGAGACGTGTGCCACCGAGACAAGGGTGACGCATAACACGCACCAGAGGGTGAGACGCGTTGAGCAACTCGCCATGTGACCACAGTTGTCAAACGTGTTCGAGAAAGGCAGCTCATAACGAACCCCCTTTCAGTGTCTGAAGTATCGGTACATATTCTACGAGCGCATTTTCCCGTATATGGCGAATAATGCCATTGTACCTAGGTAAATGAAGCAGTTCCCGGGATATATACCCGCTGTTGTCTCACTTGATTCTGCGGTCCTAGTCGTGACTTGACTTACCTGCGTGGCTCATTTGTGGTGGCTCTGTCAAGCATCGTTCAATGTACACATATGTATAGATGAGGGCGTGGGAACAAGTATACGCACGCCTCCACGAGGCTCTCATGCTGAACCTTTTGTATATTGGCAGAAAAGCTACATTGTACCCTCAAACGCCGTATCCCTTTCCCTGATTGATTCTCTCGCTTCAAGCAATCTAGCCAGCATGAACTAAAACCGGGAAACAATCATCATCCCGTACAAGACATTGTGCCAACAGCGGGTCAATTCCTCAAGGCCCTCAATCTGTCTCCCAAGCCCTCCTCAAGTTTCGCCCTCTCTGCAGTTTCATTTGCCGGTAACTCCTGCTCCGGCACATTCTGCTGCATTTCCTGTGATAGCTCCACTCCCGCTTCATCGGCGACCCGGCTCATCAGAGCCTCAACCTCACTCTGACCTTCCACCCCAACCTGTTGACTCTCAACACCACCTGCGACACCCTCGTAGTAGCCTGTAACAACGTCGAGATCCTCAAATTGGGATTCAAATTTCTCCATCACAGCTCCTATCTTTTCCAAGTCCATGTTCTTCAATGCGGCATCCATCCCCTTGACAGTCTGAGCCATGGAGGCAGTCACGGTGCGCATGGTTATGGCTGTTTGCACCCGGGCGGCCACGGCATCGATACGAGCCGCCAATGTCAGAAGCTGGATCCGCTGTTGGGAATTGCGCACCGAGTTTGTGGCATAGAGACGAGCGATCTGGGGTTGAGGCGGGGTTTGGGTCAGGGCTTTCTTGAGCTTGGCT